ATATCCTGCCATGGGCCCCAAGAAAGTCAGTGGTAAAGTTCAACCTAAAAAAATAGTTGTGAGGATGACGAAAGGAAAAACAAGAGATCATTTGTAAACATAAAAATGTTATGAGGGTTGTTGCACTAGCTAGGCAGTACAACAAATCTATGTTAACGATATCCACCGTAATTGTTAAGAAAAAGGACACCAAGAGTGCTAATGTGGCAAAAGGCATAACAACAATCACAAAACAAAGGACACAAACACCTGAAGATGTAGAAAAGTTATTATTAATTTGGATAAACGACAATCAGTTAGCAGGTGATAACATTTCGGAGGCTATCATTTGTGAAAAAGCAAGGCTATTGCATGAAGATCTTGTAAAGAAAACACAAGGAACAAGTGATGCAGATATGAGAGAGTTTAAGGCAAGCAAGGGATGACAATTGCGTGATGCATCAAATGAACAAATCAACAAGGGCCGTGACGAGGATTCAAACCTGTGTCTGAGAGAATCCCAGGCGCTGCCTTAATCGACTGAGCTACAACATGGTGTAAAGGAGTTGAAACCGAAGTTCTACTGAACTTACTGGATCCTGCAGCCTCTCCAAGGCACAAACCTAAAGAAGAGGGAGAACATCCTATTGACATAGCTCGAGTGCATGGGGGGAGTTGTGTAAAACCCTGGTTTGGGAAAAACAAGTGTCAATAGACAGGTTTTTAGCGAGACAAACAAGCAGCGAGTCACAACCAGGTCGTAGTGGTATACCTGCAAAACGTAGGAGAGAGAGAGTACCCCAGAAAAGTCATCACTGCCTGATGTTATAATGGAGGGGGGACCCCCCCTTCCAAACACTAACACCTCACCTCCTTTCCCCCCACCTCACCATCTTCCATATGTCAACAAGACCTCAATAAAGGTAAGATATACATACTGTTCTGTAGTACAAAATAAATGGTATTCGGTATAAAATGTATTTTTAAGTTAATATTTTTGGAGGGTGTGGAATGGATTAATTCAATTACATTACTTCTTGTGGGAAGATTCATTTTGGTTTACAAATTTTTGGAGTACGATGCATCTCTCGTTACGGATTAGGATCGTAAACAAAAGTACCACCGTAGTACCACTGGGAGCCTGACAGCTGAGTGGACAGCGCTTCAGATTCGTAGTCCCGGGTGGAGGCGGAAACAAAGGGCAGAGTTCTGTCACCCTGATGTTCTTGTTCACCTAGCAGTAAATAGGTACCTGGGAGTTAGACAGCTGCTGCGGGCTGCTTCCTGGAGATGAGTAACAAAAAGGAGGCCTGGTCGAGGATCGGGCTGCGAGAACGCTAAGCCCCGAAATCATCTGAAGATATCGTCAAGATAGTTGGTGGAGAATTTGCTGGAAGGCATGGAATTTCAGTTATGTACCAGAAGATTAGAAAACTGCACTTTGTAAAAAAAAATAAAGGACTTAGCTCATGTAAGGATTTACTATACAGTATAGTGGTTCAGTATGTGGTACAGTACGATTACTAAATACTGTATAATGAAAAAATATATTTCGAATAGCTAGCTATTCGTTAGCGTATAGGAAATTATTCCAAGAAATTTATCAGCCATGAACAAGGTCTGTTCCGTGGTGATAAAGGATCTGTGTTTTATATTTGCATCGAGACAGCTTATAGGAGATGTTTATAGACTTGGGAAAAGCATACGACAAAATTAATACAGAAGCAGTTTGGACTGATGAGCTTTCATGGATTTGGCAGTGACCTTAAAAGTTTCTATGTAGGTAGCAGCACAGTACATTCTTAACCCTTCAATATGTATCAACCAGTGTCATTTTAAAGTTTAAGGTTTAAAATTTCTGCACAGTAAATGGGGCACCCCCATACGATGCCTAAGACTTCCAGTAAACTGCCGCCATCTTGAAAAAATCACGGGCTCCCACATGTTAACAAAAACCTCAGTTTGTATATAGCAACCATGAGCAACACATACTGTACCTCCAGCTCACAGTCCCAAGTGGCTCATGCTACAGTTCACTTATAGAAGAGCAAATTAACAAGAAACTGCTATAATTAACAATGATAGCAATGTAGATGATCCTGTCAGTGATAAAGACTATACAGAACTGTACAAAAGGATCATATAAGTGATACGAACAGTGAAATTGACGAACCAGTGAGCATTTCGAAGGCAAGGTTTACACCATTGCCATCACAGCCATTGTTCCAGTCCCCTTCCACTATCATAGTGTCCCTTTAAAGCAGCTGTGCCCCCTGCTGTTCCTTTACCCCTTAGACATGTAGAAGATGATTTTTTACAGATTTAGTGACCAGGATTCTGATACTGGTAGCAGTGCTGTGGCTAGTGTCAGCAGTTTTCATGAAGTTAATAGACAGAGATCTGCTGTGTAAGCATCTTGTCCTGCAAAGCAATGTTGTGTGATGATACATGGGAAAATTGAGGGAAAATAGGAATTTACCTCCAGGAACAAAGATCTTCAATTTAAAAGATTTTTAATTAAGAAAATGTGTGCAGTATGGGAAGAACTGCAAAGTTTTGCTGAAAAGACTCACCCAGATAAAGCTGTAGCAGGCCATTGAATTAACCTTTTTAATGACAATATGATGTCTCACTACAGACAAGTGTTAAAATATAGAGAGAAGTGTCTATAGACAGATTTTTAATAAGACAAGCAAGCAGTGAGCCACAACCAGGTCCTAGTGGTATACCTGCACAAAGTAGGAGTGAGAGTACCCCAGAAATGTCATCACTGCCTGATGTTATAATGGAAGGGGACTTCCTTTCCAAACACTAATACATCTCCTCCTCCCCCCTGACTCACCATCTTCCATATGCCAACAAGTGTCCTCAATAAAAGTATGGTATAGTAAAGAATATGAGTAGTATTCTGTATAAAATGTATTTTATAAGTCAATATTTTTGGGTGTGTGGAACGGAATAATTAAATTTACATTTTTTCTTATGGGGAAAATTTGTTTCGGTTTACGAATTTTCGGTACACGAATCTTCTCTTGGAAAGAATTAAATTTGTAAAGCAAGGGTCCACTGTACTACAAACAACAGATATCAATATTACTATTTTCATCCCATTTAGTAGCTTGGGGAAGCAAATTAGCTTCAATTTACAACATGAAAACAGTTTTTTCACTACGCCCACAAATAAAAGTATATCACCATCTAGTGCTTGAACTAGCATGACCAAACTAGCAACAAGACCACTATAAATAGAAGCTGCCTCATTGTGATTATTCAGTGTGCATTGAAAGTGGCAAAAAATGTTCTCCATCTTTTGCTCCTCTCCTGGAATTGAACAACTTTGAATATTTCTGCTACATGTCAGCACTGTACCTTTTAAAGTTACCCTACCACTTCCTGACTTGTAATCCTTCCTCTACATCTAATCTTCACTTGGACTAGAAATTCACCAAGAGCCAAGTGACAGTTTCATTCATTATAGTGATGTATTGTATAGTGTATGTATGTATATTTAGCAGCCACCCATGGAACATACAATTGAACTTTAGCAGAACAAGCCATTAAGGACACTGGATCCAAGAGTGTGTACCTATGCCATAAAGTATATTGGACCCCTTCCATTACATCCAACTTTCACTCAATTTCAAATATTTTTACAATAATTAAAAATCATAGAATATGTATTTTACAGTATTTACACACAACTGTCATTAAAAATATTTTGAATTAAAATAAATCTAAATGCAAAGTACAGTATTTGTACTTGTAGTGAATGTTTAGTTGTCCTATCACCCTCAAATGGCCACACGAGGTGTCCTTGCCCTACGGAATAAATTTGCATACCAGTAAACTATGTTCTATGCAGTACTATTACCTGTAGCAGCAAACTTGTTGATATATACTGCTACACCTTAATGACAAAAACAAACATTCACCGACATATGCGACCCCTTGCAGAAGGCACTGAAAAAATATTTCCATCATCCTGAAACATTCTTCCAGACATCTAACATTCAGAATGGCAGTTTGGACCCAATACAGTAGTTACATCTGTTTAGTGGCGATAAAGGAAAATGTAATTCAATGCACTTGACCGAACTTGGAAATACAGAACTGTATTATAATTAATTTCTGATCAAGACTTGGTTACTAATATGAGTACACGTATTATAATAATCATTGAAAAAAATTAATACTGTAGAGTATTGGTATTTCCTATTAGAAATAGGAACTTTTTCCAATCAATGATGGGATTTGGGGGATTTTGTTAAAATGCATAAAATTCCTTTTCAAGTACTGTATGATAACTTGCATATTACAGTACTGTATACAATATTATTCTGACTTCCAGTCTGATTAATATTGCTACAAGATATCATTTCTACTCCAAATTAGTCATTAAATGATAAAAGTAAAAACGCATCACAGTCCAAACAATCCCCTTACTCTAAAACACAAAGGAAAAGAGTACTTTGCCAGCATGAAGAGAATGTGCCAACACAATCTGGGTTCAGTAGGTAGGTCATCACAGAGTACAGTCCTTCAAGTTTCAAATACTGTATCATCTCAGAACATTTTTTTATGAGAATTTCCAGTTGAACTGATAACAACCAGTTTTTTCCATTGCGAGTCGATGCTTTCATTATATACAGTACATAAGTTGCATCCTGTACATTATTTCCATTGTGTTGATCAAACCACATACTAGAAAGTGAAGGGACGACGACGTTTCGGTCCGTCCTGGACCATTCTCAATCGACTTGAGAATGGTCCAGGACGGACCGAAGCATCGTCGTCCCTTCACTTTCCAGTGTGTGGTTTGGTCAACATATTTCAGCAACGTTTTTGTGACTCCTCGTCTGCATTTCCTTTGTGTTCCATTCAAACAGAATTGCAGTGCACAATAATGTATGGTACTGTACCTACAAACATGTCACAAATCACACTAAATAAACTTCAATTTGAAAATACTGTATCAGCATCAGTGCACAGCAAAACTAAAAATGCTAAATCAGGGTACTTACCTCACGGAGTGGAACCTTAAAAGCGATGAACCTCGTCCCTGGGATTTGTCGGCCCATGCTTTTGTAAGCCTCCCATCTGCAAGACATTACAGAATGGCAATACAGCATATACATATTGCAAAGGCTATTTTATGCAGTAACATCTATTACATATACCATGTACAAATTGTGAATAAATAAATGTTAAAAAATTTTTTATTATATACAGTGTAGATAGCATACCTCCCAATATGGACCTTTAGACAGTGGCTATGAAAAATGGTCATACCTGCCTATGCACAAAAAATAAAAATATTCCAAAAAATTATTTTTCCATTATAGAATTATTAATTTGAATGCAAAATGTAAGAAAAACCATCATAATAAGTGAATATTTATCATTTCAATGGGTGGAAGCACTGCAAGGCTGCGTCTGGCACTTGTCAATGACTGGAGTTCGACTTTGCAGAAACTTCATGTTTTATCCTCCAATGTTTCACAGATTGTTTTATCACTTGTTTTTTCTTTTATTTACATCCACAGAGGTATTATATCCATATTTCCATCATACATGTAAAATCCAGACAATTATTTAAATCATTAAATGACAATGACCGCATTCACCTAGTAACATACATGACGATATCTTCTCTCTTGAGGTTATCTCGAGATGATTTCAGGGCTTAGTGTCCCCGTGGCCCGGTCCTCGACCAGGCATCCTTTTTGTTACACACACATTAATGGTCATGAGAGATATTATTGTACAAGCCGATAAAGATAAATCACGACTGTTGATACTGGGGGACTTCAACTTTAGAGCAATAGACTGGGAGGCCTATGAAGCAAGAACGGAGGACTTTTGGACATGCAGATTTGTGAACCTCATTCTGGAGACATTCTTGTATCAACACATAAAGCAAGCCACAAGAATGAGGGAAGGAGATATACCGTCAGTACTGAATCTAGTATTCACCAGGAAAGAAGAAGAGATTTTTGACATCCAGTACCTTCCTCCCTTGGGAAAGAGTGATCACGTCCTGTTAGACATTAAATATGCTTTAAGATATCATCTAGAAGAAAATGGGGACATTGAAACAGTTGATAAACTCGATTTAAAGAGAGGCAACTATGGGGAACTTCGAAATTTTTTTAATGAGTGTAATTGGACAGAATTGTTGCTAGGCAGGGAAGTAAATGAAATGTATGCCAAATTTTTAAAACTATACGAGGAAGGCACACAAACATTCATACCAAAACAGAGATGCAGGACCAGAAAACAGGATTGGTTCGACAGAAATTGTGAGAGGGCAAGAGACCAAAAGACACAAAAATGGAATCGGTATAGGAAGAGGCCAAACCCCCAAACATACCAGCGATACAAAGATGCGAGAAACAATTATACAGCAGTAAGGAGAGAGGCAGAAAGAAATTTTGAAAAAGGGATAGCAGATAAATGTAAAACAGAACCGGGCCTATTCTACAAATTCATAAACAACAAATTGCAGGTAAAGGATAATATCCAGAGGTTGAAAATGGGAAACAGATTCACGGAAAATGAAAAGGAAATGTGTGAAACATTAAATGAAAAGTTCCAAAGTGTGTTTGTACAAAATGAAATCTTCAGAGAACCAGACACAATAAGAATTCCAGAGAACAACATAGAGCGGATAGAGGTGTCTAGAGATGTAGTGGAAAATATGTTAAAGGAGCTCGGGAGGAACAAAGCAGCTGGCCCAGATGGCGTTTCACCATGGGTTCTGAGAGAATGTGCATCTGAGCTCAGCATTCCACTTCACCTGATCTTTCAGGCATCCCTGTGTACAGGAATCGTAGCAGACGTGTGGAAACAGGCTAACATAGTTCCAATCTACAAAAGTGGCAGCAGGGAAGACCCCCTCAATTATAGACCTGTATCATTGACAAGTGTAATAGTGAAAGTATTGGAAAAGCTAATCAAAACTAAATGGGTAGAACACCTGGAGAGAAATGATATAATATCAGACAGACAGTATGGTTTTCGATCAGGAAGATCCTGTGTATCGAATTTACTCAGTTTCTATGATCGGGCCACAGAGATATTACAGGAAAGAGATGGCTGGGTTGACTGCATCTATCTGGACCTAAAAAAGGCTTTTGACAGAGTTCCACATAAGAGGTTGTTCTGGAAACTGGAAAATATTGGAGGGGTGACAGGTAAGCTTCTATCATGGATGAAAAATTTTCTGACTGATAGAAAAATGAGGGCAGTAATCAGAGGCATTGTATTGGAATGGAGAAATGTCACAAGTGGAGTACCACAGGGTTCAGTTCTTGCACCAGTGATGTTTATTGTGTACATAAATGATCTACCAGTTGGTATACAGAATTATATGAACATGTTTGCTGATGATGCTAAGATAATAGGAAGGATAAGAAATTTAGATGATTGTCATACCCTTCAAGAAGACCTGGACAAAATAAGTATATGGAGCACCACCTGGCAAATGGAATTTAATGTTAATAAATGTCATGTTATGGAATGTGGAATAGGAGAACAGACCCCATACAACCTATATATTATGTGAGAAATCTTTAAAGAATTCTGATAAAGAAAGAGATCTAGGGGTGGTTCTAGATAGAAAACTATCACCTGAGGACCACATAAAGAATATTGTGCAAGGAGCCTATGCGATGCTTTCTAACTTCAGAATTGCATTTAAATACATGGATGGCGATATACTAAAGAAATTGTTCATGACTTTTGTTAGGCCAAAGCTAGAATATGCAGTTGTTGTGTGGTGCCCATATCTTAAGAAGCACATCAACAAACTGGAAAAGGTGCAAAGACATGCTACGAAGTGGCTCCCAGAACTGAAGGGCAAGAGCTACGAGGAGAGGTTGGAAGCATTAAACATGCCAAAACTAGAAGACAGAAGAAAAAGAGGTGATATGATCACTACGTACAAAATAGTAACAGGAATTGATAAAATCGACAGGGAAGGATTCCTGAGACCTGGCACTTCAAGAACAAGAGGTCATAGATTTAAACTAGCTAAACACAGATGCCGAAGAAATATAAGAAAATTCACCTTCGCAAATAGAGTGGTAGACGGTTGGAACAAGTTAAGTGAGAAGGTGGTGGAGGCCAAGACCGTCAGTAGTTTCAAAGCGTTATATGACAAAGAGTGCTGGGAAGACGGGACACCACGAGCGTAGCTCTCATCTTGTAACTACACTTAGGTAATTACACTTAGGTAATTATTACACCCCCAGGAAGCAGCCCATAACAGCTGTCTAACTCCCAGGTACCTATTTACTGGTAGGTAACAGGGGCATCAGGGTGAAATAAACTTTTTGCCCATTTGTCTCCGCCTCCACTGGGGATCGAACTCGAAACCTCAGGACAACGAACCCGAAGTACTGTCCTCGCTGCTGTCAGACACTATGATAACCGCATTCATGCTATTAAATGGTAGCAGGATTTTTTTATGGGTCAAGGTAAACTCCATTACATCTACATAGACCTATTATATACATATTCACATCACACACACAAAATCCAGACAATAATTGTTTAAATTTTCATATGATGATAACCGCATTACCCTGAATCAACAATTGATGGCGACCACAGCCTAAGGGGTTAAAGCAACACTTCTCAAAATTAGATTTTATTACAATAAAATACTGTACTTTAAGACCTACGAGACATTGGCCTATAATGTATAATCACATGTTCCCTAACACTATGATTAAAATGATTGTTAAATGATTTGGCAGGTTGTATTCCAGGGAAAAATTAGGATTATGGACTTGACCGAAAAGCTATGTGTGGTAGAGACTGTACAAGGATGTAAGAACTCTTGTACAGTATATATATAAAAAAATAAAAAATATGCCAACCTCCAAACTTATTGTAAAGCAAACCAATACAATACAGTATTTAAATTATAGCCATAACAAATAAATTTGGAACACTACAAAGTTCATACATAAATTTAAATTACTAATCCCAAAAAAGACTGAAAATAAGTTTAGACCTATATATACATTGCAAGAGTCAAAACCAAGTTAAAACACAAAAATAGCAATTAAATCCACAAATGTCACACAATATTGATTCAATGATGAAGAAATGTTAGTGATGTTCAGATGATGTTGGATAAATGTTAGAGTATCATTAACTTACTGCAGTGTATGTCTTGTGGTGCAACAGATATAGTGTATATTATAAATGTTTCATTTATTAGAGATTATTCAGATTTAGATGTCTGCAGAACATACATTTTTTCTTTTTGTTTATATAGATCATTACGTGGAGGCCTTTTCTCAGTATAAAACTCGCACAAAATTAACACGTACCAAATATACTTAGGGAAACACACTGAGATCACACTAACGTGATGCATCAAATGAACAAATTCACAAGGGGCGTGACGAGGATTCGAACCTGCGTCCGGGAGCATCCCAGACACTGCCTTAATCGACTGAGCTACGACAGGGTAAAAGGGTTGAAACCGAAGTTCTACTGAACTTACTGGATCCCGTAGTCTCTCCGAGGCACAAACCAGGCTTTTACACAACCCCCCCCTGCACCCGAGCTATGTCAATAGGCCGTTCTCCCTCTTCGCCCTTACATCATCACACACAGAGATCACACTAACGTGATGCATCAAATGAACAAATCCACAAGGGCCGTGATGAGGATTTGAACCTGCGTCCGGGAACCTGCGAACCTTTTACCCTGTCGTAGCTCAGTCGATTAAGGCAGTGTCTGGGATGCTCCCGGATGCAGGTTCGAATCCTCGTCACGTCACTTGTGGATTTGTTCATACTTAGGGAAAGCAAAGAAATCGACAATTACTTTTTTTTTTAATTTATATATACCTGAACTTATATACCTATATTACTGAATATTCTTACATTCTTGTACAGCCCCTAGTACACATAGCACTTCAGACAAGTCCTTTATCCTAATTTTCCCTGGAATACAGTTAGGTTAGGATTGAATAGCTTAGGTTAGGCTGTCAAGACTCCGTTGGATTAGGTTAGGTTGATTTGAGAAAGGTTAATCAGGTTTTAAAATCCGCTGACGAACTGTCTTTGGTATGATGTGACTTGTATCTATTAAATTTTGCAAAAAAAATGGGAAAATACTGAATAGGGCTAAAATAGTCTTAATCATTGGTATACCCCAAATCATTTAAACACCAGGCTGTACCCAGAATAGGCCTAAGAGGCTAAATTTGAGCCAGCCGAGCATGCCAGAACAGGTGCAGGTCAATGAAGGGTCACGTGTAGGCTGTCCAGCCAAGACGTTTAAATGCTCACTTATAACACTGCTTACAATTCAGGAAGCTGCACATTGCTCACTAATCACTAAACTTACCTCTCGGGAACCTTGTTATTGGAGAAGCTTCCTTTAGGCATGGCTGCTGGTGTAGTTGTGGCGAGGCAGACACGTCCTGGACACTTTTTGAACCCACTCAACATGTAAACAAACACATGAATGCACAAAAGTCGTTGGAAGGGGTTACCGAACTCACATTCCTCGCACACATAAAACAATCATCGCACTAATTCAAACTATATGGCACGTGGGTCTTCTAATTTTATAACGGCGTTTCAGAGGGTAAAATAAGCTCGCGAGCGTCTTATTAATTTCGTAAAACTGGTTTTATTTTTAACTTGTTTGTCCGTTGTGCGGGAGCCAGAGGCGGCGGTGCTGCCCTCTGTGAGAGCGGCGGGTGAAGCTCCAGTGTTCAAAGTGTTCAAAGATAATTGCTCGCACGGGCTACCCAATTGATGATGGATGATTGATAAAGATTAAGCCACCTAAGAGGTGGCACGGGCATGAATAACTCGTAACGGGCTACCCTTATATAGTATCTTCATATAGTCTCTATCTTAACCATTAACAGGTAAGTTAATTATCAGGATAAAGCGCCCCTAGGTCAGTATGACTGCACCGTTAACCATGAACAGATGCTAAAATATATTGTTCAAAAAACACAGAACACTCCCGGTAAACGGTGTAATACCACCATGTAAAATTTAATAAAAACATTAATTAATCTAGCAAAATGCTGGAAAAACCCTCACAGTCACGACGGGCAGCTCAAAGTTACAGTTACTACCTATATCTACATTAATAATAATAACAATAATAATAATAATAATAATAATAATAATAATAATAATAATAATAATAATAATAATAATAACAATAACAAACATAATAATAATATTATTATGACTATTATTATTATTATTATTTATTTCGGGAAACATATACATAGAAAGTGGGATACAAGAAGAATGTCGGAGATCTAGATAGGACAAGTATATACTAAATCCTAATGTCACTAATAAACGACAAATATGTGCCAGGTAAGTCCCCTACGGGCTCACCATAGCCGGTGCTACTTGCAACTTTGGGTTCCCAGAAGGTTCTCTAAAACAACAATAATACGCCAGCGGGAACGGCGAATGAGGCGAGGACGTAAAGTGTGAGGCTGGTACACTAGTACACTCTTGGGTACAGCACAAGAATGTACTCCAATATGCTTATGTATGCAGTAGTTACAGTGCTCAGAGTACCTCATACCGTCTGGTCTGAGAGCACTATAACAAGGCTCCAGTGTTCACTCCAAGACACACTCACAGATTGGTGAGTGTGTCTTGGCTCTTGTTCACATAGTTCACAGTTGGACTGTTCACTATTGTGGGGGTTCATTACTTGCAGCCACCTGCCATAAATATCGATATCCAAGCCTAATTCTGGCAGTTACATTTTCTAGTGGATGTTTTATGCTGTCACTTACATATAAAATTCTCGGTTTTAAACATATTATAGATCTTTAAACTTGGGCTTTCTGTCCTTTTGAGTGTCAGTGACTGCTCTTCTATCATCCCTAATTTCCTGATATATTGCAGCTTTTACAGCAGACATTGCAAAGCCCATATGCCACTTATTTTCAGGCTTATCATGTGTTTACTAGTTGTGTTTTGCGGGGGTTGAGCTTTGCTCTTTCAGCCCGCCTCTCAACTGTCAATCAACTGTTTACTATTTTTTTTTTTTTTTCCCACACCACACACACACACCCCAGGAAGCAGCCCGTGACAGCTGACTAACTCCCAGGTACCTATTTACTGCTAGGTAACAGGGGCACTTAGGGTGAAAGAAACTTTGCCCATTTGTTTCTGCCTCGTGCGGGAATCGAACCCGCGCCACAGAATTACGAGTCCTGCGCGCTATCCACCAGGCTACGAGGCCCCCCATGTGTAGTTTTAGCTGCCTTATTTGTCAAACCTAATTTAACCTAACGTAACCTAACGTTCAAAAATGTTGGGTTTTTGGTTTAATAAGTTATCAAAATGTTTTCAACAATATTCTTGGGGCGTTCGCCGATTTTAACTTGAGCGACTATTGTGGGAACGCACCACATGGGTTAACCCAATTGACAATCAGGTCAGATTCTAACATGGGTTCGACCATATGTTCCTTTACCTTAATAAACATCTTATCTTGCTCTGTGCATTAACAATGTCATTTATAATAGATGTTACAACATTCCTAGTACCTGTATCTATTTTGCATGTTGGGCCTGAAGAGCTGTCTTTGAATCACAGAAAATTACTCCTCCACTGTTCTTCAGTGCATTAGTGGCCAGTTGTAGTCTTGACTCAGGGTTGAGCTTTGGCTCTTTGGTCCCGCCTCTCAACTGTCAATCAACTGGTGTACAGGTTCCTGAGCCTATTGGGCTCTTATCATATCTACATTTGAAACTGTGTATGGAGTCAGCCTCCACCACATCACTGCTTAGTGCATTCCATTTGTTAACTACCCCTGACACTGAAAAAAATCTCTAATGTCTCCGTGGCTCATTTGAGTACAGTACTAAATTCCCACCTGTGTCTCCTTGTTTGTGTTTCGCCCATAGTTTGTCGTTGTCCACCCTATATATATATGATGATAAGGATTTAGAATGGGACAAGCGTAAGGATGGTTCTGAATGATTCCTTACACAAGTTTCTAAACGCAGTTCTTACGTTGGCCAATGTACCATATGCCACGGATGATATCCTTTTGAAGTGGGCTTCTGAGGACAGGTTTGGTGTGATAAACCCCCAGATCTTTCTCTACTTGACTCTTGAAGGATTTTACCTCCTAGATGGTACCTTGTGTTTGACCAACTGCTCCCTTCACCTAATTTCATTACTTTACACTTTAGTTAAACTTTAGTAGCCATTTTCTAGACCATTCCTCCAGCTTGTGCAGTGACGTAAGGTGTGTAAATAACTTTTCTGGCACAGTTTACATTTGGTCAGGTCTACATCAGTAGATAATGTAGATTCCCAGAGACTTATAACCTAGTCTAAGCCAAGTAATAGTAACATTTAGGCGGTCCGTAGAATTACCCAAAGTTACCCAAAGTCTACTAGCATTACGTAAGTACGTAAGTAATGAAGATATATTGTATATTTACTCACTACACTATAATGTTGGTGCTGAATGTAGAACATGATCAAACCTATTTTTACTCTGAAATAATGTAATTTCTTAACTAAATTAGAAGTAGATATGTGGCAGGTGATGCCATAGGAAGTCAAGCGACAATGTGGTGGAGTGACTTATCCAAGATATATTGTCACCTGGAGAGTTTTTGCTGGCATATCAGCCTCCTGTACACAGTGATCCAGTCGTCGCATTTCTTTGTTCAAGTTGTCACAAATTTTATTGGTGATACTGTATTAACAAGGAAAATGCATATGTATTATAATATCTAGCATAAATAGCCACAAAACATTTAATATTTATTTGAAAAAAAAATGTGTCAGGAACTTAAATCAACTCCATAGGACAATACTGTAGTTTTGTTATTTAGATACTATCATTATTTGTTGGTATGGGTTCACTACTTAAACTACCCATGTCTTTTCACTCATAGAACACCAAATCCTATATGCTCTCCGATATATTGCTTAATTAATAGAGATTCACAACTAAAGCTTATATTTGTGTGTTATCAGAAAGGTACAGATAAAATAGTTATAAAATAGTTTTTGTGAATCCACCAGAGATTTGGTGGATTTACATTAGAGAGGAAAGGTATTCATATTGTAAAGGTGTCTTGGAAGGAAGTTCTGTATTAGGGTAACTAAAATACATCTCTGTTTCCAAAATAAATACTTTAATGATAAATATTTGAAAATATATTGTACATTTTGGAATTTCTGATGATATAAAACCTATCATCATATATATATAGGGGTCCCAGTAGTACAGTTGGATTTGTTCTGGACACACAATCGAGAATTCCGGGTTCAAATCCCGGGCAGGACAAGAATGGTTGGGTACATTTCCTTTCACCTAATGGAGCTGTTCACCTAACAGTAAGTAGGTACTAAGGAGTTTGTCAGTTTGTTGTGGGGTTGCATCTTGGGCGGGGTCAGTAATTCAACCTGGGGGGGGGGCCTCGATGAAAGCCTAACGTGTACGAATACACTCTGGCTTCCTGTCCCCGACACAATGCGTTAATTACAATTACAGTATATACAATTATAAAATACAATTACAGTATAAGTTTGTACTGTAATTAAGTTCTTAAGAGCAATCCTTCATCATAATTGACATACATATATCTTCTGTTTTGTGTATTACAGTAAAAGTGACTACAAATTTATAAGTTAATTTCTTTCTGTAAATGATGATGATAAAGTTCAATTAAAGTATCATTGCAATGTTATAGGAAATTGTTATATCCCAAATATATTTTGGTTCTTATACTTGAAATATTATTACATTAAACATTTGAAAAAAAAAATTATATCTATTTTTAATATATATGAAACATTAATGTTTATCAATGCATCTTTGTGAATTACATAATTTATCAGAATTGTGCTGCCTGTGTTCACGACTGGACACTGATGCTTAGGTAGTTTTTGTGTGTCCAGACACCGGCGATTGTGTGGTATTATATATTTAACCATATCTTGGCTTTCCTTTAAGATATATATTCCTTAAAATGTAGTCACACTAATGTCTGCATCTGTCTGTCTTCTGACATAAAGATCTTTAAGGTTAATTTGCATATTTGCAAATTAATTACACAATTGATTGGCATGCAGGGCTTCACACTCCCTGAGTTAGTCATCATATAACTATAAAAATGCATATATTTTCACTTTCACTTCAGTTATATTTTATGACATGATTTAAAATGTAGCTTATATTTCTGCCTTTTTTATAAAAAAAATGCATTTATTACAGTATCTAGATAAAGTTAACGTTGATCTTCAAAAGGTTGTAGTTCCCATCGATTCAGAGAGCATCGGCCAAGAAACCTCTTAAAATAAAGTATGAATATCTTTCCTCTCTAATAAGATCTAATCTCTGGTGAATTTGTAAAAACAATTTTATCTCTGCCTGTCTGATAACATACAAATATAAGCTCTTTGTTTAATTCTATAAATTAAGCAATATCGAAGAGCGTGTAGGGTTCAATGTTCCATGAGCAAAGAGACATGGGAGAGTTTATATAAATACATAGTAGTAGTTAACTACCGAACGCATACTAACAAATGAGGATTAGTATCTATATAACAAAAATATTATCCTACGAAGTTGATTTAACTTCCAGATACGGATTTTTAAATAAATCTGAAATGTTTTGTGGCTATGCTAGATATTATAAATATGCATTCTGCCTGTTAATATCACAAATTAAATTTGTGATAATTTGAGCAAAGTACGACAACTAGATCACTGTATAGAGGACGACGATATGCCAGCAAACACTCTTCAGGGGACAATATATCTTGGATAAGTCGCTCCACAAGTGTCGCTAGGACCCTCGACTTCCTATAGCATCACCTGTCACATATTTACTTACCATGAATTATATTATTTCAGAATAAAAATATATATGATCATGTTCTGCATTCAGCACCACTATTATAGTGAGTAAAATATTATATTTCTTCATTACGTACTTACATAATGCAGAGAGGCTTTAGGTTGCTTTGAGTAATTCTACAGACCATTGAGAACTACTACAAGTCACAATAAAATAACATATATAGTAAAACCATATTTTCATCCAAGGTCACTATAAATATACTGTATTATTATGAATGGGGATCAGAAATGAACAGTCAAGCAGTAAAGCATTTATTTGATATTACATTCTATATACTGTACAGATAAACATTGAGTGAACCAGTGATAATACAGAGAGAAAACCAGAAGACCTTGTTCTTACTGACCACTATTTATTTATTTATTTATATACATACAAGAAGGTACATTGGGTTTATGAGAGTACATAGCACTGATCATTTTACATTCTTGTAAAGCCACTAGCACGCACAGTATTTTGAGCAGA